CCTGGGTATGCCCGGTGTTTTTGTACATGGTACATTTTTGATCTATATATTTACATTTACCGATCAAAAAAAAGTATCCAACATGTACAACATTAATAATTTCCTTTTATGAACGTAATATGTGTTGGGAAATTCCTAACACATGGCAAAAGCTGAGAAATCCAATCAAGTTATAACTTCCAGATTTTTTGTTCTCACAAATGAAGGTAAGAGACTTAAATAGTATTTTCTCACCGGTTGTAAGTTATAGCATCATATTCTACATATTCTCTGACTTGATTATTAAGAAAAAAAGGAGCAAAATGAAAAAGGGAGCTTCGGGCTCAAACTTGGACAGTAACAGCATAAACAAGGGATTTTTAGAGAGAGAACGAAGTTCTTGTACAAAGGGATTTGATAGAATAATTCTATTTTCAAGGCTTGTTTGGATAGGACTCAACAGGACTAAAGAATAGATAATATGAGATGCTTGTCCGTTTTCAAAGTAGCCTTGTATATTTATGACTTTCAATCTTATTGCAATAGTACAGAGAATCATGTAGCAAACCCTCACTAGGTTTCGAAGGAGAAGGCAAAGAGTTTGGGCATAAATTTCACTCCTCTTGAGGTCAGCTTCAAGGACAGTGTACAGTCTCAAGGAGAAGTACTTTTTCGGCTTCTAATATTATAATGGCTTTCTTTATTTGTAAAATATGTGAAATCTGTATTGTATTATGTAGAGGAATAGATCTTCAATTGGTGGAATCCGAGCTCAGTATACTGTTGGGTTTTGATACCCAATAAATCCCGGACAATTATGTTAAATAGTTTCGAATTATATTTCATAAGTCTCGGCTGATGAGTGAAATATTTATCAACCAATCAATTCATATGCTCGACCCAAAAACACCGTTGGCCACTAGTAGCAACTTAATTGTTTTAATGTTGCTTTGGCCCAAATTCATTTATAGGAGGGCTTCCTTGTATCTTGGCCCAATCCTTTGTGTCTTAGCCCAAATTGATAATATACCTAAAGCTACATATATTCACCTTTCTTTGTAGAAGCCGTGTGTTTGTCCTTTGTGTGAGAATAAAGAGTGTGGCTGCCCCTTTGTGATCTCCTTTGAGTTCTTGCCTCTTATTGTCTTCTCTTTGCTTTTGTGGTTTGCAATCACCACCATATTGTTATCCCTTTGTGGGTGAGAAAGGAGGAAAGCAACCATGAGTGGATTGAGTTGTAGGTTGGAGTTTTGGTTGGTTGGTTGTTATATTGATTGGTGAGTTTAATCTGAGTCGAAATCCACGAATTGAAGATCCATTCCGCAATATATACCAATCCCAACCTTATCAAACACACACAAGAATCATGACCCAATTCCTACAACTCTTCCGCACTCAAGTTGTTTATAAATGTACCCGCTTAGGGCACAAAAAGAAGGTATTTTGCCAGCACACAGGCGACGCCACAAAGGCTGAAAATGGAATGAGAAGAAGAACTACGAAAACAACCGAAGCAAAAGCACAAAACAAAGACGAATAGTCGGGTTCTTTCTCAAACAAAGGCAAAACATGCGTGTATGACAAGGTCGAAGAGGGGCATCATATATAGGTTAAGTTAGAGCATAGTAATGGGCCAAGTCCAATACAGATATGGTAAGTGGATCAAGTATAATAAGCCATCCAATGAGTGAAGAACCGGGCCATAAACAAGTCTAATTAATTAGACTGCTTCCAATGGCTCCAAGTAGTTTTAGGGTCGAGTTGTCAATCTTATGTGTTGACAATTATTTCACTCATTGGTCAAGGTCTATAAAATATAATCCGAAACTGTTTAACATCATCGTCCGAAATTTATTGGGTATCAAAACCCAACATATTATAATAAATCTTTATCCACTGTGCTAAACAAATTTTCTGATGTTTTCCGTCAATTGCCTCACAATGTCACCAGTCCTAAATCACATAGACATATAACTTGAATTCATTAAGTCAAGTTGACTTAATGTATGTGTTAAAACGTGGCATATTTTGTAAGATAAGTAGATTGAGTNCATATAACTTGAATTCATTAAGTCAAGTTGACTTAATGTATGTGTTAAAACGTGGCATATTTTGTAAGATAAGTAGATTGAGTCAATTAATTACCACTACGCTCAAGTATTCAATTTAGTACTAATCCACCGACCCCCATTAGCAGGATTTCAAGAATAACTGAATAAATTGCTTATATTCTAAAGAAATATGGACAAAGACTAGGAAAATTCTGTAAAGAGAAAAATAAGAGATTTGTGTATAGATTATCAATTAAAATTTTAACTTCATTTACATAAAATATAAGAAGAATATTAGAAAGATTGGCTTAAGAGAGTCGAGAAAAACTTTGACCTCCCTTTCGTGTTGTTGGGGCTGAACTTGCAATTTGGATTTGAGTTGTGATTGGTGTACAGTGTAAACCCCTGCCGACACTTGACATTTGGGGGGGTTAATTTTTTGACATTATTTATTCATGCGGGGCCCACAGCTTTATGAGTTTTTCTGTAATTATTCTGTAAAAATTCATCTGTACACCCGTCATTATACTTTGGATTTACACCCCTGTTGTGTGTAAAGCAGGTTTCACAGAACACACACACAGGGGAGTGGGTGGGGGTATTTTTTGATAATTTTTCATTTACAATGGGTCCCACACATGAGAGTAATCTAACCAAATTCTGTGAAATTTTTTTTGTACAAATGGCTTAATAATTGGATTTATTCTTATGTCTAGATGAAACCATTGATTAAGACGTAGACATAGTCAATTTAGGTACAAGTTTTTGAATTGTAAAACTTTGACTTGTAGTTTGGTTTCTGGATGAATATCCAACCCAGTTTAAATTTACGAGAATCATGTTGTGTGAACTCACCTTTAAAATCGGACGACGTTCAAGTAGTTATGACCTACATGTCAAGCCTTAATGTATCAGTTGAAAATGCAATTAGAGCAGTAATAATTTCAATAGTCAAAGAAAGAATCAATCAGAAGAATATGATTTGTACTTGTCTTTGTTGGTAAATTCATAACTACTTATCTGGGCACCCATATTAGAGAGCAGTGTAAAGTTGAATAAAACTCCATAAGTGGCAGCATTGACAAGTTAGAGAAGATGAGTGGCGCAGGGAAGGTGGTGTGCGTGACAGGAGCCTCCGGCTACGTAGCATCATGGCTCGTCAAGCTTTTGCTTGAGCATCATTACACTATTAGAGCCACCATTCGCGACCTCAGTCAGTACTTCGTTTTCCTCTTTTGCTAGTAATCAGGACTTTTGAAATTTTAGTAGTATTAAGAACTGATATATGGCCAGCCAATGTCTATGCAAGAACACAAGTGGCCATGTTTTGTGATCAATAGTATCATTATTTATAATTTGACAGGGCATGTCTTGTTTTCATGTTTGTAAAGGCTTCAAATGATACAGGTGATCCAAGGAAAGTTGCACACCTTAAGCAACTCGAAGGATCTAAGGAAAGATTACGTCTGTTCCAAGCCGATTTAAATGAAGGCGGATCTTTTGATTCTGCAGTTGATGGTTGTGATGGTGTCTTTCATGCAGCATCACCCGTGTTCTCTTCAGTAACTGACCCTCAGGTCCATTTAACTTTTCTCTATATTTAGCATCACCATACTTGCATAGATAAGCTAGTTGTAGTAAAATAACCATACGTACTCTTTGATGCTATTGCAATTATGCTCAACTGAGATCCTTTCTGGTTTTTGCGATTTTCGTAAAAGGCAGGTTGTATAAAGTTTTGGGCTTACTAGCTATGTGCTTGTTTCAGGCAGAACTTGTAGAACCTGCAGTGAAGGGAACACTCAATGTTCTTAGATCATGCAGAAAAGTACCATCCGTCAAACGGGTTGTGTTAACATCATCTACGGCTGCAGTTATGGTCAACAAGAATCCTCCAAGCTCCGATGTCATAGTCGACGAAACATATTTCTCAGATCCAGAAATTTGCAAGGAAAAAGAGGTGTGTGCATATCAGAATATCAGTGCTTCCATTTCTTTTTGGATTACCATCAAATGGTATTCAATTCGGAAAATGTATATTGAACAAAACTGTTTAAACAACCTTCTATTGTCAAATTATTATGCATATCAAGCTTTTGTGTAGTCTCTGAGTTTTTCAATAGTGTTAAAATAAAATAAAATAAAACTGCTGCTGCTTTCAGCTATGGTATCCCCTTTCAAAAACATTGGCAGAGGAGGCCGCGTGGAAATTTGCAAACGAAAATGGCATCGACTTGGTAGTGATGAATCCTTGCTTGGTATTAGGCCCACTTCTTCAGCCAACTCTCAATTTATCTTCTGAGATGATTTTGAACCTCGTTAGAGAAGGTATTTTCTGTATGCAATCAAAATCACGTGTGAGACAATCTTTCAGTGTAGCGTTGATTTTATTCCTTTGAATAGGGATATGATTTCATCATCATGGTGTCTGCAATTCATTTTCTTATTTGATAAATACCCTTAAATCAATCATCAGAAATCTTGTACAAGCAGACACCAAGCATCGCCCATCTGGGAAATTGAATAAAGAAAGATTTATATGTTTGTATATAACGTTTTGGAGGATTCATTGTTTCTCCTGGCAGCGCCTTCTGTCCAATATTATACCAACAATAGCATTTACTTTCCAAATGTTACTGTTGACACATAAAAATTCAGCTAAAATCGAACGGCTCAAAGAATGAAGCCCAATTGGAGGATCCCCAAATCAGATAGCCCAAAGAACGAAGCCCAAT